CCTACATATACGGGCTGGCCAGTAACAGTTGTGCAGTGCAAGCAGTCGTTTTTTTTTAGTACCAGACACTGACTGTGTCAGCCTTACAAGGCAAGAAAGGGGCAGGGGAGCAACAGTTTGCGAGTGTCTTCCTGGGCCAGCATGAGACGCGAGCATGCGCAGTGGGGGTATGGACGGCGCCACCGCTGACGCCATCGCGCCACATCAGGCGACTAAGAAATGCTATGCATTCAAAAGTATGACTGCAATTTTTGACATTGCTTAATTCAGCCCACAAACTGACCTTATGTCCACCCTCCTCATTAAATATAATCGCACCAACTGCAAGTTCGTGTAGTGCACTATTTGTAGTGCACCAACCCTCTACCCCTAACATCCCCAACTCCCTTTAAAATAAATGCATCAGGACTTGCGAATGCCTCAATAATCGCAGGAAAAAATCAAAACAAAGCAATTTACCCACGATTCAATCATTATGACATTGAATAAAATGTGCATTCTATCATAATGACGTAATTGCTAGCCACACCACCGAGTGCCAATAGCACCTTACCAGCTTTCAATTGTCGCAGCTACACATTACTCTGGCAACGTGTGGTAAATGCACAATGTTGATGAGGGCTTTGTATGTTGATTTATTTTATTAAAGTAAATGAAGTGTTACTTATTACTTAAGCAAAATGGCATGCCTGTTTCATGGACAAGTGGTATGTCTACCTGTCCATTACCAACACTGCAACATCACGGTGTGCTGGTCCCTTTACTTCACACATGTAAATAACAACGAAGTGTTATTTATCACTTAAGCAGAATGGCATGCCTGTTTCATGAACAAGTGGTATTTCAACATTGCAACATCACGGTGTGCTGGTCCCTTTACTGCCCAGACGTAACTAACAACTACCACAAATAATATAAAGCCGATGTAAGCACTGTTAAGCATGAACTTCCTATTTTCTTAGACCAAGAGGAATGAATACAAAGAATGTGCGTGTACTGTAATCATCTTATTTCAAGTCCACTGTAGGACAAAGGTCTCTCTGAATGATTTCCACCCTGCATGAGCTGAATCCATTGTATGCCTCCAAGTTTCTTAATTTCGTTACTCCACCAAACCTTTTATGGTCCAAGGATACCAGGTACAAGGATCGAAATGAATACCAAAGGGTGGAAAGTGCGGTCCTTGACTGCACTTCCCATCCCTTGGTGTCCATTTTGATGACCTACTAGTCTTTCTCAGGGTGTTCAGAGAACAAATACACTGTATTATGAAAATTTCATCGTGATAATATCTATGTTTTTCTCAACTGAACAGTGGCAGCTAATTCATTCTGGTATAGTACTAGTAGAAAACTTCAGTGCGTTTTTTAAAAACGAAAACTGCGGTCCATCTGTTGTTGTCCATCTGTTTGTAGCATGAAGCCGTTCAGTTACAAGGAAGCACTCGCAAGCTTTCACAAAATTGATTTACCACCGCATTTCTTGTTATCATTTTTGGCTGTGTGCTTGCTGTACAGCAAAAGGGGCTTATTTCCACAATATTTATGTATTCTGAAGTGGGCTAGATGTCCATACAACTTCACTTCATTAAGCATATTAGAGGGTGCTGCTGTAACTGCTGTTCTGAAAAAACTGAAGAGAAGTACTGTTAAAACATTGCCACTCTTGGCGACTTCGATGTGTATTTACTTCATCAGCTGTAGTTGAAAAAGAGGCACATATTGCGTTGGTGGTACATCTGACTGTATCTTTACCTAACCTTTTTCCTTGTGTTCCCAAGCTAGCTCAACTTTAGAGCATACGAATATTGCAGTAAATGCTTCTTATGGTTGTCCACAGGTCATTAAATAAAGGAGTTATAGTGTAGTGCCTGTGATGTCTGGTGCTGTACTCCTAATTTATGTTTGTTTTTATATCACACAGTGCCTTCACTAAGGTCACGCGATATTTTATCTGAACAAATGAATTAATCACAACGTTCGTATATCCAAGCAATATTTGCATGTTTCCCAAGAGTCACGCATTAACAAAATTCGACGTCATGTCTAACTTTGCACAAAATGGACTCCATATCACGAGAAGCCATGTGCGGCAAATATTTTAAAACAAATGGCTTAATAGCACTATTAAAATTTTAAATAAAGCTGTCCAAAGGAAATAACTTTGTTGAAAATATCTGTGATTCTACAAGGTTGCGCTAGTTTGCCAAATTTAGGTTGCTCTCATTGGAACTTGTCAATAATAAAGCATCAAATCCCCAAACTGGTTCTCGGCAGCAGTACCAGCACCACTGCAGCCAGTATTTTTTTTAAATCTATGGCTCACTAAGGTAAATGTTAAAGTATTTTGTCATCACCTTTTTTTGGCACTGCATTCTTCATTAATGAATTGGGTTGAACCATGCTGCAAAGCAAGTTCCTATAGAAGAATTCAACAGCGTTTGCTTTAGATCTCAGGCGCACTCCCCTGAACAAAGTTCTGGGAACTCTTAAAGAAGTAATGAAAAGTTTGCTTTAGAATGTCAATGCGACACCACTGGCAGCCACATGTGCTAACTAGGTGACATCAGCTCGAGTAGACCTGCACGGGCGCTTTGCCTATCAAGAAACACAGAACTCCACGACATCTGTGAGCGCGTTCAGAGGAAGCCCATCGAAGTCTTTGCCAAACGCAATCCACGTCGCACAAAAATGCTGCTTAATATGACGTGAGCTGCAGAGTTCAAATAGCGCGAATTGCATTGGCAAAGACCCCGATGGGGGGTCCCAATTGTGCGCACACGTAAGTACCATGAAGTTTCTTGATAGGCAAAGACTACATGCAAATCTACTTACACTGACGTCACCTAGTTAGTGTGTGTGGATGCCAGCAGTTTTGCACTGCCGTTTTAGGAGTGACCTTCACAACCCCTTTAAGTTGCTGCTCACAACACTGTTTTGTTAGATTTTCCTCATCTCAGCCAGAGCGGCAAGTCAGTAAATACTAGCATGTCAGTAAATAGCTGAATGTCAGTAAATAATAACTAGCATGTCAATAAGTAAACAGTACCAGCTGAGAAAATATAATACTATACCAAGAGAGTGAGAACCCCCAGTATCTACTCAGGTGATATTTGTACAGAGTGATTTTCTGTGTTGTACAGATGTTAAGTGTTTGGAATAATGACTTAATATAAAAAAAGGGGGGGGGGGGGCCTGTGGCAGAAAAAACAAACAAGTGACACTTAACCAAGCTAACCCATATGTGCAACAAGAAAACCAGCAGCTTATATACGACACAATACAGGTAAATAGACAGCTCAGACAACAACATTTACACTTTGGCCTTCTGAGATCAGAACATCCCATAACGAACCCATATCACATTCAACACTTTTCGCAACACATGGGAATGATGTAAGGCCATTGCTAATGTCTAAAAACTCATTTCTCAACACCAATGCTTAACGTACGAAGCAAGCATAACGTAACGAAATGTGTAAGAGAACAGACTTGCTTACTCTTTCAAGTTTACACTGATGCCCTCGATTAAAGCTACCACTTTTACTTATTGCACTTTTTAAAAGTAGACATAAATATTTGCACAAGCATCACCGGTCCAACACTCTGAACAAGGTGTTCCCAGACAAGATCAGACATGTATACAACCCACATACACATATATAAAGAACTTGCACACAAACAAAGATCACAACTTAATAGCTGATATCTGACCAGCTGCCAACTCTTTGAAATATAACTTTTGGAATGTCTCAATCTAACAATTGCTGCTTTTTTTTTACATTGTAAAAAGCCAAAACATTGTTCTAGATAAACCAAATGGCACATTAATATTTTCTGCCACTGCCAAATTATCGCCAAAATCTAAATAAGCAGGCAAATAAAGTCTTTGAATCAAAAAAAGCTAAATATTTTAAATCAGAAAATTCACATGCTTACAGAGTCACTGCTGATAAAATCTACACAATCAGTTCAGGTTTTTTAAACCTTTATCATTACAACTACCAAGCAGTGAACCAAAAGATTAAGAAAGAACAAGACATTTTTCGAGATATTCACTCGCTCCTTATACATGTGTCTTATTTGTAATAAAGGCAAAGTGATGAGTGCTAAAACTAAAGCGATAAAACAAATTAGCTCAACAACCTAGTTCCAATGCCACCGTCCTTTCTATTTGTCAAGCTCAGTTTTAATGCACCGGGTTTATTGTGAACATCAAAAATGTACATGTCCTAACATTTGAGTCAGTTGTTCTTAGCTAGCACTTCCTTTTCAATTCGACGATGTTGGCCCATTGTCAGTCTGTTTAATGTGCACTTCACAAATGTATAGTAATGGTAATCTGTGCATTATGTGAGGTATTCAGCCAGCCCTGGCTAAAACAAATGAGAAATTGTGGGATTAACTGTCCTGAAGCCGTACAGTGAGCAACAAGTGATGCTGTGGAGAGAAGGTTCACGATTACTTCTCATCATCCGTGAGGCATTATAAAGAAGTGTTCGTTTTATTATTATTTTCTCTCCTATTTGAGCATCACTGTTGCAAATGTAATCAAACAGTACAGTACTTCCTTCTAAGCATCACAATTTCAAGCTTTTGAACCACAGTAATGGGCATCAACACAAACAACCAAGAGTGATTTTATCTTGAATAATATTTCAGAGATTAATTGCTAAGTGTAGAATGTATTACCACTGTTACAGTTGTCTTTTTTTTTTAATCTTGCATTACCAAGCACCTGAATTCACATACCAAGCAAAATATTCCATGTCTTGCTCTCATATGCTTAATTCATTTTTGTTATTTTAGTTCAACACGAAGAACCAAATCTGTAATCAGTACGTTATAAGTGAGCAGTATGCATTTAAAAATTGTCTTTAACATTTAAAATTCAGGGATGCCAAAACACTAACCTGAAAAGATGAGAGCCAATGTAAAGTAATTCAGTATAAAGCCTGATTATCAAAATGTTGGCACTGATCAGATGTCTAGCACAGGGAGTCAGCAGAAATCAACATCTGCTGGGTGCGCAGTCCGGCAGTGTCGAATGAGCCCATGCTTCCATTTGAAAGTCTTATTGCACAAAGCACACTCATAGGCCAGCCTGTTCTGGTCATGTAACACCATGTGCCGTTTCATGATGAAATAGTTGCACAGAAGTTTGTGGCAGATGGGGCATTTGGCAGGACCAAGCTTCTCTTCCGTTTGCGCCATTTCTACAGTTCCATCATTTGATGAGTCACCAGAAATGAGTGATGCCAGTGAGGATGTGAAGATGTCCCAGTCTGCAAGAAATGAAAAACAATGCTGAGCTGAGCCATAAGCTTTGTTCTCATGAACTCAACTCCTGAGCACAAGACTGCGAGATCAATCAACACTACCAGCCTGGTTTCAATAAGGAAACAATGCAATAAATAAATGCTAATTTCTGATAGGCATTTATTCATTCTTAGTGCTGAATGAGCATTAGTAAGAGATGGCTGTTGTTATGTGGCACTGCAGAAATAAGAGCACGCTATTTTTGTATTGTGCAATTTTAGCTAAAAAGTTTTGCTCCAAAGATAGATGAATTTAGAATCTTCACTCACATGGAGCGGTGTTATCAGAGCATTCACATTAAACAAGCACCATATAGTAGCATATTTGTTCATGTTAATACGTAGCTTCCATGCAATCATAGGTCAATGATGCAATAATGTTTACAGGTTAAAATATTTTATATTAGTAGTAGCAAAGCATGGGATAAGCTATGACACACTTTTTGCATAGTTAACTTGCTAGAAGCATGTCAGTTGAACAGTGTAACTGACCGCATATAATATTATATTAATTCTATTATGACACTAAATGTCAATGCTTTACGGCACATTAGACTCCATTATGTCTGACTACACTACTATATGTTAATAAAGATCACCTATATACTAGTAGTACAGCGCTCCGCAATTGAAATGCGATACTTGAAGCACGTGGTTGTTGGTCGAAAAGGTCACTAGGGCATTTCTGACACATGGTGACCACATCCAGTAGACAGCTGTTTAATATGTAATTCCTGGTGGCATCAGTGAAGCGTTGCTTGCCATGGCTACAAAAACACTAAGCTTACATGTCGTGCGACACGAAGCAGTTGGAGCCATTGATCGTGCAACACAAAAGATTGCAGTGCTGTGCCAGCACCACCAAGAACTCCACACTGAACACATGTTTCCCAGAGGCAGTCACCATTCGTCATGAATGCTCTTGCTCTCTCCGTTACCCTAAACTCAGCAGTCACAATCTCATAGTATTGCAGTCAATCACTGAGCACTGTACATGCTAATTGTAAAAATAAAACTTCATGATTTGTGTTTGCAAACACTGCTTTAAAAACATTAGGAAGAAACAGCTGCTTTTCAAGTGCAATTTATAACATTAATTTGTTTTCAACAAACGTGATGGACTTTCTCAAGGGTCCCAGATTAAGACTATATATTGGCACTCAGACCACACCACACAGTCACAAATATGAAAGAAGTCACTGCTATGAAGCCTGGTGTAATTAACATATTTCTTGTCATTGTTTCGTACCGGAGTACAAATGAACATTTCCTGCCAAAAGCAGACATGCACGAACTGTGAAGGTGTCCACAGATATGCTCAATTGTGTAAACATGCTACGGCCTCTGCAACAACCATGAATACAGACAAATATATTGAAGCAGTGAGAACGCCTTCTCCTTTACAACTTAAATTAAGCAACTGCCATGAGATGCCTTTTGCAGTAGATTGACAATAAAAGTGTTCTCTGGTCACTGCAGATACCAAATCAAGCTAAAATGGTGTTGCAATATCTGGCCACTCGACAGCTGCATTCAGTAGCCAGGAAGGTTCATCAGCTAAAGACAAACCATAAAACCCACAAGCTCGCACATATGCCAGTAATATCTGCAAGTGTCCGAAATGAAATGGTCACCCTCTTTGTTTACCACGTTTACATTTTATACATACATGAACACACATAAATATTTCTTATATGTAGCAACCCTGATATGTGCCTGAGACAGCCCTCCTACAAAAGAAAAGAAAAAAAGAAAACCTGGCATTTATTAAAGGTGTAAATACAATTGTGCTTCATAGCAACAGAATTATGTATTGGTATGCCCGAGGATACAAAAATTAATGTTAAATATCATTGAAGTAGACTGACCTATTTTGCTTCAGCTTGCTAATAACATGCAAGTTACCTTGTTTTCTTTTTTTTTTTGTCTAGTACATAGAAGTCAAAACAGCTTCAACAAACAGCAATAACCTGCACAAACAAAAACAATATAGCTTTCAAGTTAATGGGAACTGAAACCTGTGTATTCAAGCTACTCATCATAATCTTGTGGAAATCGTAAGTGGTGCTTGTTTACAGCATACAAGCATAAACAAAATTACAAGATTAAAAAATTAATAAGGCCATCTTGAGACATTAGGAGAAAAGAAACTTTATTTGTATGATATGTAAAATGAGAAATGTGTAACAAAAAAAGAAAAAAAAGCATGCAACCTACCGTTGATTTCAAGTATTGTTCAGCTATGCATTCATGTAAGAACCAAAAATGTGAATAAAGAATAGGCATGCAAGAGGACTGCAGCAGTGAGTCAGCATCAAGGCACTGTTCACAAACCTCACAATAGTAAGGGCCGTACACAGTCCCTAAAAAGAAATAAAAAGCACAGTAGGGTGGAGGCATGAAATGTAGTACTTACAAAGGCAAAAAAAAAACACACACACCTGGAAAATACACTGTAAGAGAACAAATGCTGAGCAAGTCATTTTGCCGTTTTGTTTTTACGGTAACATTCAGAGATTACATAAAGTGTGCATTTTACCCCCATAAACCAGTTTAATAACACCATCACATCTCAAACAGCAGGGATTTATGCTTAATCTACAAGACAAATCTGTTTGAGACAGATCAAAACTAGCTCATGACAGTGCCTGAAAGAGGAAGAAGCAATACTGGTATAGTGACTAGCACCACAACAAGAGGAAGTTTTTTGAAATATTTATCCACTGAGCGTTTCAAAAGAAATCAATGCTTTCCATTACAAGTAGAACTGACGGTTCATCAGAACCAGTTACACGAGACTAAAATGCCATGTGTGCTACACCAAAAAAAGCAGTTCAATGAAGCTTTCATCTAACAGCACAACAACGAATGCATATTCTCTCATTTGCATTCCATGAACCAACAAAACAGTTTTTTCCTGCTTCAACCACATACACACAATACGGCGCTTCAGTCTTCTTTCACCACATTCTCAGATGTTCCACAGAAATGTTCGTTATATAAACATGTAGAAGCATAAATGATAGATAAGGTAAAAGTGACAAGGGCAAATGACCAGTTCGCTTGCAAATATCGACTCTTCTTACATCTCTCTCAATGATGTAGAGCACAACTTCATTAAGTAAGCCCACCACACAAGGTTCAAGTGCACAATCCCTAGGACACACCTTGCAGTCTTAGGTGTTGAGGACAAGTGACTGCATAAAGCATCACCACAACAACCATGTAACAAGCTTTACTCTAGTAATTTGTTATCCAGAAGTATCTCTGTACCAAAAGCTAGTTCTCGTTAACATTTCAAGCAGGTCAGCATAGTACCTGCAAGCATAACGCTACCTGAAACATTATGCAAATTTGCATGGTTCTTTTTTGATGCCACCAGGACTCCACATTCTTATTAAATATGTTAAAAAGCTGTGGCATTTACAATATTATTTACTTTTTTTTCAGATATTATGAGTTATCTTGTAGTAATATATACAAAATACTCCCCATACAATAGCAAGCAGGTAAGCAGTGCATAAACGTATTGTGCCGTATGATTTATGCCACCATTCCCAACTTTCCATCTCACTCTTCATGAAATTCATTCAACAACATGCATTGGCAGCCAAGCTAAACAGGAAAACAGGTAAATAAAGGACGATAATGGCAAACTAAAAAAATACAGTTGGCTCAACATTTTCGAAAGAAGCCATGATACCACCTCATGGCAGCAGTGAAAGAGTGCTTTACCTAGGGATATTACTTGAAGGGAACCAGGATAAAAAGAAGTAAACGTATAGTTTAATAAAAAAGGGCTGATATGCTTACGAGGGGCACTTCCAGGTCAGAACCATCTCATAATATTGTTCAATAATTAAGTATTTAATTAACAAATGTTCTGCCAATTATATATTATGGAGGAGGTGAAACTTAGGAGAATACATAGAAACCTGAGAAGGCGCTAAGCGTCACAATATGAGCAATGGTACAGCAAGTTGCAGGTGCAATGTCAAGATACAGAACAGTGGACAAGTGTAGCTGATGGTATAGTAGTAGAAAGGAAGAGGTAGAATTTGGTAAGTTTTATAATGCATACAGCGATTATTTGGTGGTCTATCACAGAAATACAATAGATGGAAAGGGAGGAAAGAACACAGCTTAAAACAGGACAGTATTATGTGGTGTAGTTTACTCTTACAGGCAATGTTCTGCAAGAACTGCCAGAAGCTAGTCCGATAAGCATTTATGATGCAAAATAAGTGGAATAAGACCAGCTTACCAGCAAAGACCAACATAAATTACCACAAATTTAAACATGTTTGTATATTTATGTTGTCTATCTATACTTGTGCAGGTGGTTGATTATAATACTGATTGCAAGCTTTTTAATTCAGCCTGGCATATGGCATAAGAGAGCAATCGGCTTGCAAGAAAGAGACTTAAAGAGAACACGAGTGGCACTGGCCTTAAGTTGAGTACTCATCTGATCATACGTTGTTTATGTCCCTGTCTTCTACATGTTTCTTTAGCTATTACACGTTACAAGCTTACCCAGCTAACACCATATTCCACTGATGTCATAGGACTAAGCAGAAGAAATAGCTGTGGTTTCTATCGGGTAACCTGACACAGTGGAATACTACTTGACGAATTTTTTATGCTGCCACAGAACAGCTCCAATCAGAGGTTTGCCAAACAACACACCTACAATGCTAAATTCCTGCAGCTGAGCATATAATGGAATGCTCCTTGCATGCCACGAAATGTTGTGGTACAAATACACATAACATTGTCTTCCTGTACCCACAAAAATCAAGTACTTTCAACTGCACTCCTTTTCTAAGGCCATGCATCTACATATTTTTTTGTAATATGATCAGCTCAGCATTATTTCCTTGCTTTTAAATGTCTGACATGGGATGCAAATGTGCAGCATTTGCTAAAGAAACAAATCATTACAGTGAAATGCATTATAAAAAATGATCACAGTAGATGTTAATAAATTCCATCTTTGCTTATGCAAACATTGTCAAGCAAGGCAGGCACCATGGAAGTTTCAGTCTACTCAAAAAGCTAACACAAGCACAAAAAGTAAGCATGCCAGCTACACATGTATTCTACCAGAAACTGCCTGCAATACCTCGATACTAGAGGCTTTGAATCTAACTTCAAGCAGAGATTCATGAAATTGCAAGCTTGTTCATCCTCAGTCAAACGCAACTTATCACCAAGAAAATGCCCTGAGCAAGACGTTACTTACATTAGTGCTTATTTTTATCAGAAGCATGAACATCAGATAAAACCACTTTTCAACAACTTTCTACATCCGCCTAATCGTCACAAGTGCAAGTCCACACAACGAAGAGCACCAAGAGCACCAAGCTCCCATGCTGACAGGTCTGCAGCAGAAGCACGCCTCACTTTGATGCCACTGCACTGCCTCCGCCATGAACATTCTTGATGTGCATGTGCATGTTGTCGCTGCGATTAAATGTCCTCGTGCAGATGTGGCAGACAAACACACTCGGCACTGCTGCATGCATTGTGCGGCGATGACGTGACAGGTTGGCATTTTCTGTGAACTCTGCTCGACACTGGTTGCACTTAAAGAGGCCCTTGACGACACCTCGTGCACGAGCGGCATTGCGGAGCACCGGACGTACAGCGATGAGTGGAACTGAAACAAGAGCAGTGTGCAGCTTAGTTTCACACTGAACAACGTGTAGACCTTGGCCTGACTGGTAATAGCCTGATGTACCAATTAATGCCACAGAATAGGTAATGGGAACGAATGAAGAATGCAAGATCCTAGGTGAAATTCGGCATTCACCGTAGTGCCTTCTTCTCAAATCTTCATCACCAATTTGGCCGAAATAATTGCCGCGACGCTTCATGCTCATGCGTGCATTCAGACGAAATGAATCCTGTACACCAAGTGTTCAGCTACAACACATAGAGAATTAGTCACATTTATGTAACTTCAGACACTTAGCCCCAACAAAGCAGTGGGTGCAATAATAACGAAAAAAGGCACAAAAAGGTGCCAATGAGACAAATAAAACGAGAAGGTTATCTGGGTTATTCTCACAGAATTGATCGACGGCTGAAACTGTGACTAGTAAATAACCAGCCATCTTAAATGTATCTTGTAATTCATTTAAAGTTACACAGCTTACATTGCAGGCAATATTCACAATGCAAAATGTGTGTTTTAATGTCCAACATTCAATTTCTCCAATTATCATACATTGGACCAAATATTGTCATGAAAGCTGAGCATATTTACAGAAAATTGCATAGTAAGACACTGCCAACTGTCTCTACTCACTCAATACTGATTTTTTTTCATTTGACACTGGCTTTCCTTTCACCTATATGTCTTATTGGTATGATACCTTAACAGATTCATTTATTCATCAGTCAAATATAACAAGCGTAACAAATTTTTCCCTGAGATAAAGCCAGATCTATAATAAAAGCTTCAATTCACATTTACTTAAATCTTAACATAAACTGCCTCCTGTCACTACCCATTATTTTCTGTCAAGTGAAAAATTAAACTAGCAAAAGCTTCAAATAACGTAATACTCAGTGGCCCAGTGATGTTCAGAATGAAAAACATTTGCTGAAAATGATTAAACTGCAATATGAAAGCCTCTTAACATTTCAAAAACCAAAGACGGAAAACATGAAGCTTATCTCAATATTTAGTAGAGTTGCTGTAAATCACACAGCATGGTTGAAAATGTAAAAACAACATAGTATTGTGAGCTGATGCTATAAACTGTATCTACAAAAACATACAAAAAATAAAAATTCATACTAGATTCAAACCTGGATGATTATGTTAGACATGTAATAATTGTAAAGTGCACTTAATCGATTTTAAAGTAGGCAGAACAATGACTACATCTACAGAAACACTAGAGTTCCATTGACTAAATTATTGCTACACTAACGAATACACACACTATAAAGTCATTGCTTTGGTAAACAAAAAAAAATGTAAAAATCCTACTAAGCACAAAAGCACCTTGCAGTAACCTAGTCATTTGGTTTTCCAGAAAAAAAGCTTTGTACATATTTTAGGTGACTGGGCTTAAAATGTAGCTTGAAGAAATTCTTTCACAATAATTTCCATCAGCTAATAGGATGACAAGTACACTGCCATTCCTGCTATTTTGCATCACATGGAAATCCACTAGTGAAAGAATTTTTATTAGACTCTACTTAAAGTACAACATTTGATTGTAAAAATTTATAGAAGTTGGCACTGCATGGAGCTTTACAATGTGCAATATTATGAAATCAGACACAATAAAAAGAATTCAACAAACACACTTTTAGAAATGCGAGCACATGCACACATAAAAAAAAAACTTCTGGCACTCTGGTTCGCATGCCCTAAGCACAACAATCTGGACTTTATTGCATTCTATGTAAAAAACAAGAAAGAAATCAACATCAATCATATTCCGTCAAAACAACATAAGTCAAACACAACAGGTTACTATAGCTAATTCACACTCAAAAACCAGCTGAACATAATAAAATGTCAAGTTCACTACAAAAATCACAGCACTATTTGGCACAAGCTTAAGGATTCTCAGCAACCTAAAAAAATGAGACACCGATACCAGAGCAGTTGTGGTATTCCACTCAATAAAGGAAAACCTTTCGGCACTGACTTAAATAACAGAGGGCAAACGGTTAATCAAAGGTGACAGTTCAATAGTAAAATGACAAAATAACAAGTTGACCCTTGTCAAAACACCACACAATAAAACCTTAATAATTTGATACCAGACTGTTCAAAACTGCATGAAACTACATTTTAGTAGACAACTTGGGCAATCAAGGTACTACTACTTGGAGAACTTCTTGGCTTGGACTTTGGTTTACGAGGTTTACTACATGTGCCTTTTTTACAAAGTTACAACAGCATGAGATGTGGTATGGTTGCCTTGATAAACAGTCAATGTTTCCTACAACTTTACTTGTACTTGTGGCATTATGCATGCTTATTATCACAATCATGCTCACTTACAGGTGCCTTTGATATTACACTGCTCTAATACAAGCATAACTTCAAGTTTAAAATTCTTAGAAAATATGCAGCATCATTTTTCATGTAACTAATGTGCGAGCAGGCATTGGGAACAGAAAACTTCTCATTGCATTAGAAAATGCTGCTACCCTAGAGGTCAGAGACTGGCCTACTTGAGTTTCACATCAACACTGAAACATCACAGCTCAGCATGCACAGTTGTTTTTACTATACCAGTGGCTGAAATTTAGTGCTGAGCTATACAGCCAAACAATGTACACCGAGTTCCATAATCCATCAAACTAAATGCTTCTCCAGAGATGATCAAGCACTGAAAATAGCTTTACAACAGATAAATGAAGTGAACATGTGCCTCTGCATCAAAGTATCGCACCTCCTCTTCCAAAATATTTGTTCCACTATGCAACGAACAAACAAATGAGTCATCTTGCATGGTTTCAAAAGCTTTAAAATGAACAATCTGCATCATCTAAAAGGATATAGAGTAAGACATTAGTTAAAAATTGTCAGATTTCCTATCTTTCATCAGTAGACTTCAAAAGCAAATGCTGAAATTGTATGTAAATGGACGGTATATATAACTTAAATATTATATCTTCCTCACAACTAGAGGAAACTTGACCAGCTGTGAAACACATGCTCCTTTATAAAAATGAAACCCAAATTCACTTGCAGCTTTTTATTACAGCATAACCAGATTAGCAAAGATCTGCGTGATATTTCGAGCTGCACCAAGTGGGCAACTCGGCAGGCAGAATGCAACGAGTGATAACCAGTGTAGAAAATTTAAACAGCTCATCCTAACTTTGCCTCTGCATACCAGGCAACCTGCAAACATTGAAATTTGCAAACACACCAGTGGCACGACGTTGGGAGTATTAGAGAAGTAGGGGCCTTAGAGGCCTACTTTGAGTACATGACTTCTGTGAAACACATGCACACCTCATTCATAAATTTATCTTCAGATGAACTACAAACATTGGACAACAAATACTTGCAAGTTACCCTTCGATGGAGGTGGAAATGTTGTAGGCCCGTGTACTCAGATTTGGGTGCACGTTAAAGAACCCCAGGTGGTCAAAATTTCCGGAGCCCTCCACTACGGCGTCTCTCATAATCAAATGGTGGTTTTGGGACGTTAAACCCCACAAATCAATCGATCAATCAACTTGCAAGTTACCCACTGTCTTTAGACTGAAGTGAGCTTTCAGTGACTAAGCTGTTGTCTATTTCAACTGCTCTAGGAGCTTGCCTGCATAAACTTGCTCGTAGCAATCTGAGTAAATCGCTGGCATTCTTTCTGGCATCGCAATAATTAATTAATGTTCCGAGAACCACAAGCAAACTTCTTTGTGAGTAAAATACTTTTCTTAACTTGACACAGCATTTACATAAAATCATGAAATATGCCCAAATTTATTGCCTTAACAGAAGGTTTTTAACATTTCACAGGTACGCTCTTGTCAACACGGGTGGAAGGGATAGACTAGAAAGTGCAAAGGTTCTAAACAGTGAAGTCAATCAAGCAAACAGTATCCCGTGTCAGCTGAAGAAGTTACTGAAGCTCATGACAGTATATAAAGATGTTATAGCCGAACACTTCGAGATTGGTTATTTGCCACAAACAGTTGTCCTCTATTTTGTTTACATCACTGCCAAAGTGCAGGGTGGAGTGTGTTACACCTAAATTAGGGCTCGGCTTGTACTGACATGCACGTTTATTTATGCACACAGGACATGACAAAAATCGAAGCAGCCTTTGTAACACATCACTGCAAGCTGACGTGCATGACTGAGAAGCATATAAGCATGCAAGTGACTTTCAGGCTGCTTAGCTGGCATTACACGCTCACCCAGTCCCAACACTTATACGCACGGGTCATATTATCAAACAATCCACTTGGTTATTTGTAAATTTTTACCCCTTGTTATTGGCTCAAACATTGTTGAGCTGCCACAATTACCAGGTTTGACAGCTCAGCACAACGGATGATAGTAGGATTGAAAAGGTAAACGACTGTTTGAAATTATGGCCTCCAGGTTTGAAAAAAAAAAAAAAAAGACTCATGTGCAAAAAAAAAAGACTTTCACAATTGTGAAAAAAAAAATAAAAGAGAAAGCTTTCAAAATGTGTATATCTACACTAGCCAGTCACATCAACAGAAAGGATATCGCACAATAAAGCAAAACTAGAGCAGTGACTGAAATACAAAACAAAGCAAATGACTTCACCCACTGAACACTGCCCTTCGGCGAAGTTAAACTGCAGACGTAGCCAGAGAGGCTTCAGTCACACAATGTACAGTTTAACATTTTAAAATTAAGCAAATAATCCATTTGATTCTTGAGCACTGATTATGAAAATTCATTGCCCTATGCTTATTTCAAACCATAAACTTGTATTTTCACATAAGCACTAAGAATGACAAGTTTTACAGGCCCTTACAAGCGCGACTGAACCAGATGCAAAAACTACCCAATCTGAAATCTTGTCTACATGTAGAGAAAGCTACACATTGAGCATGTCACTATTGCCATATGACAAGCACATCTTAATAAACTTTGACTTGTACATCAATAAAACTTCCCTTATCTTGCATAGCCAGACA